CATTTCTCCCAATTTTATCCCTTTCCTATTACTCTGAAATTATAAAATTAATTCAAAAATTAATTCACAATATTTTATATGTATTTTCCTTATCCAATAGCTTCCTTGATCCCTAAAATAATTTTCATAAAAATATCAGGTCAAAAATCAATTCCCAACTATTTTTCTTGAATTTTTCAAAAAATAGCATTTAATTCCAGAAATTAATCCTCACCTCATTTTAAGAATTTTATGCCTCGATTAGCTTCTTTATCACATAAAATAATTATCCTACAAATTCCAGCTCAAAGATAATCCTCAACTATTTTTTTTAATTTTCAAAGAAATAGAACTCTTTAACTTTCGAAATTAACTTTAAAAATTATTTAAACCACTTTTTGAGGAATAAAATTTTCCATAAGATTTCTAAATCTTTGAAATTAATATTTCATAATTTTTCCCAATTTTCTTGGGCACTAGATAATTTTAATAATTTCTTTTCCTTGTTCTCCTAAAACATGAAAATTTGGAATGTTACACAATAGTTCAGCAACAAAATCATATAAAACTTTACACTTCATATTCAAAATGAACTTACATATTTCTGTTTGCTTTTCTTCATATCTCTCACCTTCTCCGAATCTGAAAATTTCATCATGCTTCTAACTTTATTTGGTCCATTTAAATTAGTTACTAGGCATTCAAAATGACAACCACAAACCACATTATAGTTTTGGCTTTACATTATTACAGCCCAACACTTGATCGTCCTGGTTCGGCATTTACAGAGCACACACACATATATATAATTGTATTAACTATTTTATTCAAAAGCGTCCGATGCTTAACATAACAGAAGAGGGAACATGGGACTCAAAAATTCATTCCATATAACACATTGTTTCGGTACCTATAAACCCATACAAATAAACCAACATGCAGTCACATAATAGGCATAAATAAAAACAACCATAGATCAATGATTTCATATATTCCTCTGCTCTTAAATAGAAGACCCATTTTGTAGTGTGCAATATAAAATTTGCACTACAAAATGAGTCTTATATTTTACACTACAAAATGGGTCTTACATTTAAGATTGGAAGAGTATTATATTTCACAGCACACTTCACCGCCATAATCATCTTTTTTTTTTTTAATCAAACAAACTGAAATAAGCACAATGTTCCTGTTTCGGTATTCACAAGCAACCCACACACATACACACACACACGCTTATATTAACTTTGTTCAAAGAATCTAATATTTGACATAACAGGAGACAAAACATGGGATTTGGGCATTCATCTTAGAACAGAGCACATGTCTGATCATACACATTCAGAGGCCACAAAACAGAGCAATCTAAGCACATGCAACAATTGTTGTCTATTCTTAACTACCTCTATTTACAATTTCAACACTTAATCAGAGTTTTTCCCTCACTCAAGACTAGAAACCAGTCATCCTCTCTCTCGCTCTCCAAAAATCACTCTAATCGAAGAAATCAGAGATAGAGAAAGGCTTAGGAACCTGCCTTGGTTCCAAAATCCAGCTTCTTCTCAAAAGCTTCCTCTGTTTCGATCTCCCTCTCCCTCAGCGTTAGCTCTCTCTCGGTCTCTTCCTCTATTTTGCACTCACTCTCCCGCCTCTCACTAATATACTCCATCAAGCTTCTTGGATACGATTCTTGTTAAAGAAGGAGAAGAAAAGCGTGTTGAAAAAAAATATGATGCAAGAGAAGAGGTGGCTGAAAGTAGTGAAAGGGAGGCAGAGAACGTGACACGAAGGGAAGGATTTGGGAATGAGATATAGTCGATGGCATTGAGAGAGAAAGACAAAAGGCTATTTTGTCCTTATAACTCTTAACTCCGCCATTGTCTGAACTTTTATTTTAATCTTAACTAATTCCTAAAATTAATCTTCGGCATATTATAGGAGTTTTCTCTCTTATTTAGCTTCGTTAACCCACCAAATAGCTTGTCTGAAATTTGCAGGCTAAAAAAAAAATAATAACCTATAATTATTTTTCTTAAATTTCTCAAAAAAATAAACCTTTAATTTAGGAAATTAGATTTTAAATTATCTCTACCCTTTTATTCTTCCATAAACACATTTATTTCTCAAAATAATACAATTATCTATAATTTATCTTTAATTATTTTGGGCTATTATATATTTTTAATAATTATTTCTTTCTTTATTTTCTTATATCTCTTACTCGAAAATAGGCTTTTATAGAATTATTATTATTTCTTGAGGCTTTAACTAAATATTTGTGCCTCTCAAAACATCTTATAAATTTCTGGTATCAAAATTTGGGATATTACAATAAAAAATATAAAAAGATCGATACGTGAATTATTTGAAACATGACAATTAAAATGTTTTATTTTTTAATTTATGACATCATTCATTAAAGTATTTTCACTCACGCAATAAGCTGTATGCTTAAGGATTTCAACGTTTTTATTCTCAGTATAAATTAGATTTTGTGGTTAATTAGGATTGAACGTTCTCCTCACTATTTGATGGTTATTTAGTTTTCATATGATCTCACATAAAGGGCAGACACTGCTGCTAAAATGCTAAAATTTGACTATTATTTTATTTTATATAAATTTATTGGAACAAATTTTCATTTGGTGGTTATTTAGTTGTCATATGATCTCACATAAACACAAAAGCTACATGTGATGAGTGTATATTTTGTAATTAAATTTTTCAGATTTTGGATATATTAAATTAAATTTATGAATATTTTACAACCAGTTAATTTACTACATAATAAACCAAAATTTTCAGGATAAAAATTTTCAAGAAAAACGCGTAGAAGAAAGAAAAAGAAAAATTTTAATAAGCTTGACTTTAAAAAATAAAAAAGAAGAAGAGATTTTTATAACACTACTTTTTTAAAAAAGAAAGACACGAAGAGTGGGGGTCTTGAGTCATAATTTTCTCGGATGTTAAAAAAGAAAGGGGAAGACACAGTGGATATATGTAATTTTTGCCGAAGACGACAAAAAGAAAGACACGAAGGCGCGAAGCACCCTTCAGAAAGCGGATCCAATCATACTCTCTCAGATATTCGGAGCTCTGTTTAAGCGTTTTAAAGGCAAAGAGGAGGCTTATTAGCCCATTTTGAAATTCATTTCCTTTATCTTTTCTTTATTCTTTAATTTATTGTGATTGTTTATTATGATTCAGAATTTTAGAAAGGCATCAATTATTAATTTATTTATATGTTTTTAAGAATAATTCACTATAAGATTTCAGAACTTTAAAAATAATCACTTATGTTTGCTTAAAATATTTCAAATCTGAGCCTTTCAGCAGAAAACACTATATGTCTGTAAAGTGATTTTTATAATTCTTCATATATTCTGTACTGTCGATATCTCTTTGATAAATTCGTTTTAAACAAATAGTACTCAGTGCTTCATAAAAAAATACACACACAAATATAGAGTAAAATATACCGATCACTCTTCTATTTTATGTCAATTACAAAAACCTTCTTTTTATTTTGAAAACATATATAAACCTTCTTTACAGTTAAAACATATGTTACATAAACCTTCCTTTTATATTTAAGATTTTATTTTCATCCACCTAAACTGTTAGTTGATCATTAAGTTTGATTTTAAATTATTTTTTTGGTCAAAATGCCGCTTTTTAACTTAATAATTATTTAGACATTTATATTTTCCAAAAGCTGTTTTTATAAAATAAAAAAATAATTATTTTTAAAATTTTGATCTGAATCATAAAATTTTATAATTTTAATATTTTATCACATTCGTTAGAAATTATTTACTTTGATTTTTTTTAAATTGTAAAAACATATTTCAAATACATAGTTCTTGTTTATCTTAAAATTTAAATGATATAAATTTAAAAAATTTAAAAAATTATTTAAATTTATAATTCTAAACTTTTAAACACATCTTTGTTACAAAAATTTATAAACATATTTAGTCAAGTATATATACTTATTAAAAAATTAGTTAAATTTTTAATCTAATTTTTTATGTTTATCTTAACTAAATGAAATGGATGTAACTGAACAAATATAATTTAGAAATTTATGAGAATGAGAGATGAAATAATAAACAAAATTTATTTTAATATAAATTTTAGTTAAAAATAATATTTTTAGAATCTTTTTAGAATATTCCTAACGGTGTTAAATAATTGGACTAAATGTATATTTTTGAAATAGAAGAGAGGTCTTTGTAATTAATGCAAACTAGAAGGTATTCAGAGTATTTTACTCATATATATAAATATATATATATTGCGTACTATTTTAATCACACGTTAAGTTCAAGTCACTAACGCGTTAACGATGGAAATTAAAGCACAGTCCAATCTAGCCAAGTCAACACAGTAACGTAACTGTCAAATTTCAAAGCATAAAGTATTCCAAATTCCGCAGTTGTGAAAGAAGAAAATAAGAAAACACGAGTTCAGTTATTATTATTCCAACAGTTATAATTTTTTGAATAAAGCACCTGTTTTTTATAAGTTACATTTTGTACTTATTTAAAAATTTAATTTATTTCTCCCTTTTCTCTAACTAATTAATGTCTCTCGTTTTTTATCCTTCATTGTCTCTCATCTTTTCTCACTCATTCTCTCCCTAAGAAGTACATAACATATAAGACGTTTCGCTTTTCAGAGCTGTAAGTAGTATTATTGAGCTAACAGCACTTAAGAAGGAAGCCAAAAGAAATTGGAAGAGAGAACAACGTATGAGGTAAAAGAGAGCACACCACATTTAAGTATGCCAAAATATATGATTGAGGCTACAACATGAGGAAAGAGATTGGTTATGCATGCATGCATGCATATCATATAATTGAGGCTACAACACAAAGTAGCTGCATGCACATTTATTTATTTACTACTCCTCTGGTCCTAGATATAAGACCCTTATACACAGTAATTTAAGACTCTTATACACAGTATAAGGGTCTTATATTTAGGACCAAAGGAGTATTTTATTACAAAATAGATCGTTTAGTTATTGTTTTACTTTTGTTGCTTTTGAAGTAAGGCAATTATGCCCTTGTTAACTCGGAAGGCCTTAGAAAGAACCTCAATAGGGATGGGAGGTTTGGATCCAAACACAGCCTTTGCAACAGTAATAACTCCTGGATTTTGGCTACTGAGACTAGAAAGGGCAACGGCATTGCCACGGCCGATGTTGAGCTGAAAGTGAATCATAGAGGAGGGAAATATAAACACATCTCCTTTGTTGAGTACTTTGGTGAAGAAACGGTTATCATTTTGATTGGAAGCCACAAATCCAACCAGAAGAGTCCCTTCGAGGACAGTCAACACCTCAGTGGCACGAGGGTGAGTGTGAGGAGGATTCAAACCATTGGGAGCATAATCGATACGAGCAAGGGAGATGCCCAGAGTGTTGAGTCCTGGGAATCTATCTACAGACACTTGAGTTACTTGGAAGCCCAAGGGGTTTGATGTGTTGCCTTCCATTATGTGGAAGAAGAAGTCTTCCGCTTCCACAAACTTGGGATCTTTGCAGAATCTCCCATTCACAAATACTGCACAAAACCAATTCAATATTACAAATCAATGACAAGAAACATAGAGAGATACAGTATATATGGTATTTGTGTGTGTGCACTTACCTCCAAATTTGGTATCATTCACACCCACGCAGAAATCTTGGAGAGGGCTGGGGTCATCGGCAGAAGCAAAGGAGGAAACCAAGGCCAAGAGAGCAATAAGTGAGATAAATACTGAACTTTTCATCTTTCTCAAATCTTTTCTTTAACTTCTAATTGTGTGTTGTTGTGATCAAATGAATTTGTGGTTGCCATCTATTTATAGCTCAAGGGAGCAGCCGTCCATTTGAATTAGTATTCTTTTTTTTTTTTTTTGGGTTTTCCCATTTAATCAAAAAGAAATATATCCACGTTAGCTAATCAAATATTAACAAGGTAAGTAAAATTTGACTTGCATTAGTCATCAGTCTTCTTCTTCATTAATCTAGGCCGCGTAAAGTTACAAGCATATTAACGTGTCAGTGATTGATTCCTAGAACAAGAGATAAAGAAATAATAAAAGAAAGAGAGAGAGAAAGACATGTGGGGCATATGTAACGTAACGTGGCAGCTCATGTTGGTTTCCTTCAGCCTTTCAATAACTACTCCGGTAATTAATCCGTTGTTTTTTGTTTATTACCCCAGGTTTTAGGCGGATGGTCTTAATCAACTATTAAGAAACCACACATTAACGATCAAAGTTTTTTCCTTAATCAATTTAGCAACAAAATTCCCTCGTTAATAAATTTATTGACGGTTTTTTTGACAGAATTTGCTAATTCTGTTGTTAAAATCTATTGCTAATTTGCTGTTTTTTCTAATGCAAAACATTTATATCCATACTACAATAACAATTATCAATTGAATTAATTAATTTTGTTATAGTGGATGACTGAACCCTTAATTATTAACCCAAAGCTCTCATTCTTTTGACTAATTGACAAGGTATTACTCCTGCAGCATATTTATCTGTTTCACTTACTCTAAATCACATATACCAAACTTCATCTACTTGCTCTTTCGCTTATTTGTATATATAATTTATAATCCTTTTGATCCAAGCATCTCCCACATGTTTTAAAATATAATACATTTTATCGAAATTAAAATAATAATTTTTTCATCTAGTGTTTCTAACTAATTATAAAACTTCCTAGCTAATTAACTAAACTTCCTTGACTAATTACTTTCATTGATGGAGGCAGTCTACATACACTATTTTATGATTTAGGTGATTTGGAGTTAGGGTTTAATAACAAATTGGAGTTTAAGTTGGATAATGATGATTACTATACAATTGAAATGCAATTTAATGATTTGGTTGATTTTATCTAAGGTTAAATTTAAGTTTAATGGTTAAATTGCTGGTTTAAACTTGAATTTTACATAAAGATATTTTGGATGAACCCTAAGTTATGCAACTAGCGGATTTTGTGCAATTGGAGGATTAGATGGTGAACTGAGCTTTCTAATGAGTTAACTGGATTACAAAAAACGATTGAGTTTAAATTGGGAATGTGAAATTGGGAATTGAGAATTGACAATAGGCGAGAGAATTGAGAATTTTAAGCTATATATAAAAGTACTGTTTATTACTTGATCATCCTATGTATTGATAAGTAATTATTCCAATTATGTAAATTGCATTTGAATTTGGGGTTTGGCATCATTTCCTCTCTAGCTTTCTAAGCTAAGCTAAGAACTGAGGTAAGCATGATTGATTTAATTATTACTCTGTATATATGTGATTCGATTGTAAGATTACTTTAGTTTGTAGAACAAGTCTCACTTTATTAACAACAGTTTTTGTACTATTAAGCGTATCATTGAAATGAGACAGAAATCAATATACTGCCTTCGGTCCTGAACATAAGAACTAAATAACAATTTGTAAATATTAAGGTAGTTAAATTAGGTATTTGTAATAAATGGATACTATCTTTCTTAAAATATCCCCATTAATATGCATAGAAATTAATCATTGATGGAGATTCATTGACATGTGTAATTACTGTCATTTATCGAATAAGATAATCTCCAATGAAGAATTCCCATGTGAAAGCAATATATATATATATATATATATATATATATGCACACACATACACATATACAAAAGCAATGTCAATTGTTAACTTATATGTGTTTTAGCAAATTTCAGTGGTCCAGTTGACTGGATTTCTCCAGAAAAGAATTACTTATTCATTTGCTCTTTTTGTTTTTTTGGTTGAATCTACAGAGTCATTTATTTAAAACATGCTAATTAATATCTCTCGTAATTTAGCGAATAGCAGCGGCCCAATTCAATGGAAACCACAACCAGTTGTCCTTCACCTTATCAACATTGATCTATTGCGTGAAATTAAAAGACTTTCATTTTTTGTATTAAAAAAAAGACTTTCATTTTTATAAACCAGCTAATTAAACTGCATGATTATTATTGCCCTCTCACCTTTTTGTAACTCTATAAATAGAAGCCATGCAAGCTTCCATTTTCCACAACACACCCTCTCACTTTTCTATCATATTTCAGTCTTCCAAAATGAGCACCTCTTTGCCTCCTCTTATTTTCCTTCTCTTTGCCTTCATCATTCAACAAACCCTAACCCTAGCTGAAGAAAATGTGCATCGCAAAGCTCTTCTGCCTGGTAAGCTATACCACATTCTTGATGCCACCGACACTGCCCACGGAATTCAAACCGAACAAACTCGGGACTATACGTGCCCGATTTCGGTGATAATCGGTGCTGATGCAAAGAAGGTGATTATCCATAATGGAGACCAACATTCAGAAAGTACCAAATTGGGACAAATAATTGATTTTGAATTTGTTGAGGTTTCTCATTGTGCTAAATCAGCTAACTGGAGTATCGAAATTCATGATAACAAAGAGTATCCTATATAGGGTGATTGGTCCACATAAGGATGCTTCAACCATGTCTGGTGCGTTCCACATTATTAAATCAGAGCATGTAAACATTCATTCGTATTATATTGCCTTCAAATATTACCTCTGGTCCTTAATATAAGAGCTAGTTTGATTTTTAATTTAGTCCTAAATATAAGACTTCAATTCACTTTGTATCTCACACTTATCTATTTTTTTTCCTAAAGTAGTCTTTGTAGAGTTGCATATGTTAAAAGTTCGATTAAATGATAGTTTTAGCTAATACATGATTAACAAGGATATTATATGGATAATAACACTTAATTATTACAAATAACTAACTCAACAAACTTTCTTAAATCTAATTCAAATTAGACAACTAGCTCTCATATTAAGGACCAGAGATAGTATAAAAATGTAACAAAATATGTCATTCCACTAATCCCCACCCATTCGCCGCCGCCGCCAGCAGCCCCCACCTTGGCCCCATCCTCCACCTTTGCGCCTCTTATTCGAAAGATAGTCCGTTGAGTGATTATTGATGCGTATGTTGGTGTTTGATATTAATGCTGCTGATACTGTTTCATGAGCTGTCCCTAATATTGCTCTCTAAATAAATCAGCCTATTTAATGTTATTGATGATTATTATGTGTTTTGAATAAATAAGGCTATTTTTTGTCATTAATATAAAAGCTAGTTGACTAATTTGAGTAGACTAAGGATATTAGTTACGTTAGTTATTTCTAATAAATAGATATTGTCTTTCCTAAAATATCCGTACTAATTAAGTGTATTGGTTAGAACTACTATTATTACAAGGAATATCTTAGAAAAAAATAGATAAATATGAGAGCCAAAGTGAATTGGGGTCTTATATTAAAGATCAAAATAAAAGTTAAACGAGCTCTTAGATTAAAGATTAGAGTAGTATGATGTTGTTTAATTTGCTTTGATTGTTATCTCGGCCAACTTAACTTCGCTTCTCTTCCTTCTCTTTCTCCCACAATATATCAAAAGTCACTGTTGAAAGGAAGATTTCCAAAGGCAATTTTTAATGTCATTACTAAAAGGGAGACTTTTGGTAACAATATGTTCTTGTTCTCATATTTGCCCCTCTAGAATGGGAAGAAGGAAGAAAAGCACTCACAGATTCGAAAGAGAAGAAGACGGGTCAATGAACAAAATAGACATATATAACTGATCTAGAGGGGTAAATATGGGAACAAAGGGTTGTTTAGATAAAAGTCTGAACTTTCAAGAGTATAAGAAAGTCTAGGTTACATTTAAAGAATGTGCTTTTGATGTTCTGTTCCAGTTTGGCAAAAGAACTTTTTAAATCGCTATTAAAAAAAGGAAAACATAGTTTATCAGATGTTTAGTTGCCCTAAAGGACTCTTTGGACTCAACAAGTCCAAATGAAACATCGCCTTAATTCAATTATTTTCATTTAATGCCTACTGGTGTTCACCCTTGTCCTGATCAAGATATCCTTATATACGAGGGAAATGGAGGAGAGAGGAGGAAAAATTTTAATGAGTTCAATTTTAAAAAAAAAATTAGAGAACTGAGGTATAAAATGTTAATAAAGGGAATATATAAGAAAAAAAATAAGAAAAACCAATTAAAAAATTTTAACCCCATTTCTTCAATTTTTTAAATCAAATTCATTAAATTTTCTTCTCCCCTCCCCTCCATCCAGTAAGCTTGATGGTTAATACCAAGTAGTAATAAGCTATTGGTTGAGATGACAAATAGCTTTAACGCATAGGAAGGAGAACATAAGCTCAAATTCTGATAAGCGTACTTATTGGAAGAGTTTTAACTTTAGCAATTTTAACTTAATAGAGATTAGTCTCAAATCTAGAGTAATTTAAAGAGACTTTGACTTTAAAAAAAAAAAAGCTTGATGTTTAATTAATCACGAAACAGTCAAATTTTATCAAATATTTTTTTATTTAAAAATAAATTTGCATGTATATGATGGTTGTCTCTTTTAACCGTTATATACCCTGACAAAACCTTCTGCTAGGTGTTGTAACCACGGGTCTTCTCAAGAACTCAGCAAGTACATCCCATGGAACCTCGCCCCGGGAAATATACCCATGCATGGAGCATTGTTACCTCCAGATACTTTAAATCCGAGGATTTCAAATGTCTCCGTTATTATGTTCGTACTTTTTTCTCTTTATGTGCATGGAAACACCAAGCCTGAACCATTTAAAAAAAAAAACGAAAGAAAACATGGCTCATATCTGGAATTGTTTGGAGGTAAATGAGAGGGAAAATTGCAAATAAAGACTCTCAATATGTAAAATTATAATTTGGGACTCTAAATTT